GAAAAGATTTGTTGCTGTGGTGGTGGTCTGCTGTCATCAGCCGCCAGCCTCTGGCAGCCCCATCACGGTGGAATAAAATGCTGCCCGGTCCTGGGCCCTTCCCATGGGGGGGTTGAGAATCGGGCCACTGTGACCCACTGGGTTTTCATAGGCTGATTGTTCACCGCAGATCATCAGCCTTTCCCCCCTAGTCCATGGCAGCCTGGAAGTTCTGCTGAAATCTGCCCAGCAGCAGAATCATGCTCATCTGCACCCCAAGATGAGAAACCCCCCCTGGCCTGGGAACCCCTGGACAGCAGCCTCATTCTCCTCACGCTCACCAAGCCACCGCCACATCGAGCACCACGCTTGGCATGTGGGGTTTGGGGTCAACATTTGTTGAGTGACTGACTCCATGGTTGTGGGAATGAATGAATGAAAGAACAAGAGTAGTGATCAGAGGCTAGTCAACCATCTTGCCAGAAGGGAGTCTGGGTACTCAAAGCCACGGCAGCAGAAGTGGAGGGAACCATTCTTTGGGAAAAGTTTAGAAACAACCCGATGTCCATCGACAGATGAAGGACAAACCAAGCGCGGCCTATCCATTCGATGGAGTGTGATTTGTCCACAAAGGGAAGTGACCTTTCGATCCATGGGTGGTCCTTGAGAACATTAAGCTGAGCAAGATGGCCAGTAGATGGCATGATGGTGGCCTTGGCAGCACCAGGCCTTCTTTCCAGATGCCTGTTGGGGGTGAAGACAGGGCTGGACTGTTGCCGTGCTGCAGAAGCACAGCCTCCCCTTGGCTCCCTGCACCCCCTTCCAGTTCCCTCTGCCCAAGGTCTTCCTCCCCACTCGTATCTCCTCTGCTGGCTTCTCCTCCTCCTTCTCCCCATCCCCTGCTCTATGTTGGGATGAGGTGGTTGCTATTGACTTGCTCACCCCCTGCTCTGGATCGTGCTTTCCCTAGCTTTGTGGGCTGTGGAGGTAGATGACCAGTCCCACAACTCCACATGTTTCAGGGAAAACTCTGCAGTTTCACTGCTGCTAGCTCAGCTTATTTTGACCTCAGCTATGGACTATGACTCTACTCACCCAAGGCCACAGCAGCCTTGTGCCCCAAACCATCTCTCTCTTTCTTTTCAGACTAGAATGATCCTAAGCAGGTGGGAAAGGTGCCGTCGGATTTCTGGGGCTGTTGCCAACCCAATGAAGACATGGGCTTTGACCAGAGACATGTCCAGGTGTGTGAATTCATCAACCACAAGGCATCTCATTTCTTGATGAGATCTGGCCTGCGAGCTCCTTCTAAATGCACCTACTGCCATCTTTTTTAGAACTTCCCTGGGGACAATTTACATAGCTCTTCTGTGTCTCCAGAGAGACTTGGACAAGTTTTGAGTAGCCACAAACCCCAGCAGCTTATTCATTATAGGACTGAGAGGAATGGAAAAGAGTCAAGGCGTTAGCTAGTCTAGGAAACAGGATTTGGGGGAGGCCACAGGCGTTTCTAGATGGCAAGACTCCGACTTCTCATTCCATGCAAAACAGGACATCCTGATGAAGCCCTTCAACCCTTGAGGCCTGGCCATACCACTTCATCCTCCACCCAGACTTTCCAACTCCTTCAGGGCAGGAACGGGGGAGGGATAGGACAACCTGGGAAATTGCTTCAAAGGTGTTCTTCTTCCGGGCTGGAGAAACCTATGGAAGGAGTCGTTGGTGAATTGTTGAAGAGAGCTTTTTTTAAAATAAAGAAATGGAAGTTTATTTAACACACAGTTTGTACATTGGGGCAACCTTTCCAGCCAGGAACATGTTCCTAACAGAAGAGAGGTTTTGCACATGTATCACAGTGGAGATGGAAAGGGGTATCAAGTTCAAAGACTCACTGCCCTCCAGTGGATTCCAACTCAGAGCCATCCTATAGGATGGGGTAGAACTGACCCCTGTGGGTTTTCCAGACAGGCAGTCTTTACGGGAGCAGCAAGCCTCATCTTTCTCGCTGAGACATGGCTGGAGAGTGGAACTGCTGACCTTGCAGTTAGCAGTCCAACTCGTGATGCCACTATGCCACCGGGGTTCCTGAGGTCAGAGGAAATGTGAACGTCACCTGTGTTTGGATGGCATTTAAAGCAGCTTTTCAAGCTGGGTCAGTCATTGCCATAATAAACAAGGACCACAGATGTTGTTGAATAGCAACGAATTGGTTGCCCTTGGTATTCGGACCTGAGTAGGAAGCAAACAAAGATAGCGGCCAACTGCCCGTCTTTCAAAAGTCCTGCCAGTTCTTCACTCTCCCATAGGAGGCTCCCGGAACTTTCAGGAGGAAAGACCGAGGCAGGACTTTTGGAGTGCCGCATTGTGGACTCGACTGTGCGCCCCTTCAAAGTAGGGTAGATTGGCTGCCATCTTTGAGTCAAAATCCCACTGGAAACAGCTTGGGGGGCAATGCAGACACATGCACAGCCTGCTTTACGAGAGCAAGAGCTAGAGCCTTCTGAATCATTTCAAAGCTTCAAAGCCAGGGGGCCTGGAGGAGGAGCTGGCTCCCGTGGGGAGTGAGCCCTGTGGTCTGAGCATGGAGCTCACCAGCATTTGATAGAAGGAAAATGAGGAGAGATAGGGGGGTGAACTGAGAGGAGGGGTGCTCCCGAGGAATAAGGACGGTGTTCCAAGATGGAAGGAAGATTGCTGGATCATATGCTTCCTCAACGAGATGGATGCCCAAGTGGCCGCAACAGTGGCCACAAACCAATGATTGTGAGGAGGGCACAGGGCAGGGAGGGGTTCACTTCTGTTGTCCAGAAGGTTGCTAAGAGTTAGCGCTGATTCCACAGTTCCTAACACCAACAGCAGCTGTTGCTGATGGATCCAGGAAAATGAGACATTCAAATTGACTACCAATTTGGACATTTTATGAGTCAGTGGAAGGAGCCCTGGTGTCATAGTGAGTTACACATTGAACTGCTAACCTTAGGGACAGCAGTTCAAACCCACCAGCTGCTGTGCAGGAGAAAGATGAGGCTTTCTGCTTCTGGGAAGATGTACAGCTTCAGAAACCCACAGGCGCAGTTCAACTCTGCCTCGTAGGCTCACCATGAGTCAGAATGGATTCGATGGCAGCAGGTTTTCTTGGTTTGAGTCACTGGTTACCTTTGCTAGACAGTTTCAGGGAGAGGTAGGAGGCAGCCTGAAGAGAGGTTCAAAGGGAATCGATTGGAATAAGATGCCGGCCAACAGCACCCAGCGGCAAACGGCAAACGGCAGACAATCCAAACAGCGTCCCTGGACCACAGCCAGATGGTCTGGGAAGAAGACAGGGCTACAGATTCCAGCAGGAGAAATTGAACTACAAAAAAGTATAAACCAGAAAGGACAAAGCCAGACCCTGGACCTGCAGAGCCATAAAGAGAGACACAGGTCAGGGGCACTCTGGAGTCGCGGTCTAGACAGCAAGCCTCATTCTAGATGCTTCCATTGATGGGGAGTAGACTTTGTGTGCACTGTTGGGATCAGGCGAAACTGGCCCAGGACTGAATGCAACCAGTGTATTCAGGTCTCCAGTGGCCACTGTTGAGCATGGGGATGAAACTCTAGAGACTGACAGTGCTGGATTCGTCGAAGAGTTCCGCAGCCCTCCTCCGAAAACCCACATCAGCTCTCCCAGAATGGAGTTCCGTTTAAAAACCTCTCCCTCCACGACGCTGGCTGCTCCCCACCTCAGTTTACTCCTGAGCGGGGCGCCTGAGGGGAGGGGCATTTGGAGCTCACGGGGGCTGTAGGAAGAGGCAAGACTGAACCCAGGAGGGCAAAGGATGGCTATAGTTGCTGAAGGAATTCCTCAATTTCCCTCTACACCCAGAAGCAATTCTCATAATATTTGCCAAATTGAAAATCTGGCTTCGTGCTGCAGAGGAGAAGAAATTCATTGGCACCAGATATGAATCTGTTTCTGGTGGTAAAAGATGCTTTTCAAGCCGAGATAGGAGATTGCACATAAAGTTCTGGAATTTCATTGTACTCTTTCCATTGTGCAGAGACCACAGTCATGGCCCATCTTGGCTGTTGCCACCTGGGCAGGTGGCTCCCGGGGACCCTTTTGGGTTTGTTAGTCATTTCATTTTGATTCCTGCGGTGTCCTGGCCATGTATGTGGGTTTTGTAGCCCAGCGCCTCTTCCTTTGAGAAACTGCCTCTATTCCATTACATACAGTTTCATGAGCTGTCAGTCACATGAGTTCATTCCATCTTGTCTGTTTCTATGTGGTCCAGGGCTACTTCCTTACAGTGCCCTCTTCCTGAGAACAGAGTCACAGAGGCACAGACAGTTGACTCGCTTGGCTGCTAACTAAAAGGTGGGAGGATCAATCCACCCCAATGCACTTGGGGAGAAAGGCCTGGCTATGAAGTTCCCCAAACCCAGTCACTGAAAGCTCTATGGAGTGCTGTTCTACTCTGACACACGGGGGCCACAGGGAGTACAATGGAATTGAGGGCAACGGCTGAGTTATTCCGGGACAATGGCGATTGGTTCAAGAGATAGGCATGGGATCAAAATGAGCCAATCAGCACCCTGCTTTGGAGTCATCTGTGGACAATAGAAGGGACAGCTGACCCCTGAAGACACAGGGTTGGGAGAATGGGAATCGGGGCTTGCCCGCTTGGTTTGTTTGTTTGTTTGTCTTGGATAAACCTGAGCGAGATGATCTAGTGTGGGGAGGGGAGGGGAAGTGGGAAGGGGAGAGAAACAAAGAGGGGCTTCTGGCACCAATATGCCCAGATCCAGACTCTCAGGCTCTCATTCGTTTGGCTTTCATTTCTTTGTAGTTGGGTTTATGTTGCGTAAGGGCCCTGTTGTCATTGTGGTCAGGTGCCATCGTGTCAGTGCTGACCCACAGCAACCTCCTGCACCGCAGAACGACACCCTGCCCAGTCCTGTGCCATCCTCACGATCATTCTTATGCCTGAGCCCATGTTGCAGCCACCGTGTCCAGCCATCTCCTGAGGGCCTTCCTTGTTTTCACTGCCCCTCTACTCGACAGAGCACGAGGTCCTTCTCCAGGGACTGGTCTCTCCTAACAACGTGTCCAACGTCCATGAGGCCAAGTTTCACCATCCTTGCCTGGCCGTCCTTCTTCTAAGACAGATCTGCCCGTCCTCTGGGCAGTCCAGTGGTCCTCTCCAGAGTCTCCCCAGCACAACAATCCACAGGCACCTTTTCTTCTGCAGTCTTTCTTAATCCATGTCCAACTTCCACACGCGCAGGAGACGGTTGACAATACCTTGGCTTGGGTCAGGCCCACCTGAGTCCTCGAGGCACAAACGATTTGCTCTCCGCACACTAAAGGATGGCGGTTTGACCCCAGCCAGTGGCACTGCGGAAGAAAGGAGTGGCACTCTGCTTCGGGCCATCCCCGGGAGGCGCACAGGTCCAGTCTTTCACACCCGGGGTCGCCATGGGTCACAATCCACTCGAAGGCCAGGGATTTGGTTGGTTGCTTTCTTTGCTCTTTTGGTTTCCATGCACTTGCCACCACGGGGATTTTGTGTAGGACCGCGGGGGCTTGCACCCAGCTCATGGGCAGGTGGAGGGGTGGGGTATGCACTGCAGAGTGAGGCAGGCGTGGTCAAAGAGCTTGTGAGGCAGCTGTCCCTGGGAGGTCCACGAGTCCGTCTCGGGGTCATAACAGTCAAAGGAGTCCGAGTCCTCGATGCTGCAGTCCGGGGTCAGCCGCCGGCCCCCCGTCACATAGAGCTTGCTCCCGAGCACCGTGGCCCCGTGGTGCATCCTCCGGTCCTTCAGGTCCGCGCACTTGACAAAGGTGTTGGACTGAGGGTCGTATGCGAGAACCCTCCGCGTGTAACCTGGAAACCAAACAGCAAATAGGCAGGTTTAGCCGTGCACACGTGGGCCTGGCGGGACAGTGGTCCTGGGGACATGTCTGATCCTGCCTTTGCCTGACCCTGAGGATGAGAGCTCAGCATGTTTAAGTGACTTTCCCAAAGTCAAGCAGCTGGTGCTTGACAGAGCTGGGATTTGAACTCAGATCTGCGTGACTCTGACTTCTGCATTCTTAACCCCAAATTAGGGCTGCATGTAAGCCCTTCTTAAACTGGAGAGAGGCCTCCTGATTCCAAGGGCGTGGTGATAGCCATTGGGCAATGTGGTAGTTACATCATCTGGTGCCAATTTGAGACTATCAAGAGTGAAGGGATAGAGTTTAGCCTGATCAGGTCGCTGCTTGATGATCTCATTTGGAGGTACTATGGGAATAAATAGCTTGCTGGAGGTGGGACACACACTCTCTGCTTGGTATTCCTGTTGACAAGCTACATGGAGGCACACTGATGGAACCAGATCCCTGGAGCTGAAGGAGCCACGTGGAGACCCACACCAGTACTGAGATCCTTCCCCGCCACTGGATCTACAAGACTTTCCAACCACTGGCCTGTGATCTTCCTGCATTCAGCATTATTGCATGGCTGTGTGAGTTTAAAGGGGAATTTACGGACTAGGATTGGACCTATGGGCTAACGTCGGACTTATGGATTTGATCTGGACTGGGCTGGGATGTTTTCTTAATAGACAATTACTCTTTTAGATAACACTTTCTTATATACATATGAGTGTCTCTGAATTTGTTTCGCTAGTCAACCCCGATTAACACAGGCAGATTAACCGCGAGGCCAGCAGTTTCAAACCATCAGGTGTTTCTCCGGAGAAAGGTGAGACATTATTCTCCCAGAAAGAGCTAGTCTTGCAAACCCACAGGGCTCTTCTACCCTGCCAACTGTCACCGTGAGTCACAGTTGCCTCGATGGCAGTGAGCTTGGTGTATTTATTTATTCCAGTAACGTTCTCTGCCTTTTTAGCATGGCCATCTCTCTCAACTGCCCACCTCAGAATGATCACCGTCCAAAGAAAGGGTCCTTGGGAAGGGTAGGGGGGGCGGTGTCCACAACAACCCTATGTGGTTATAATGCACACTTCATAGATGAAGACACCATGGCACATGGAGATTCAGGACTAGCCAGCGTCTACAGCCAGTTAGTAGTAGAGCCGGAATGGAATCCAAGCCATGTCTCTTCATGCCGTTCACTCTGCTGCTGTCAGAGAGAAATGGCCCACTGCGAGTGAGTGTTATTAACAACAGCGAATCGCGTGCTCACTCCAGAAGGCACTTCCTGAACATTTACTGTGGATCCGTGTGTTGCGTTATCACAGAGGTAGGCAGAAGGTCAGGGAGCAAGGTGCCTGGGCACACACAGTAGGATCAAAATAGGTTAGATCCTCCACCCCCACCCCAGTTAACAGCTGGAGGCATGGAGAAGCTCTGGTCAAGGAAAGGGCTTTGCCAGGTTGTGTATACCCCGCCCCCACCCCGCTGCTCCTCACTGGTTGCGTGTGCTTTTAAAAAGCCCACCGTGGAGAACATCTGTCTAGGAGCGACCCTGTTTCCAAGGTCGTGTCCAGCGTAGGGATGCTGTGTTTCCACTCACCTCCCACAATGACAATCTGTCCCCCGAGCACCACGGCGGGGGCACACACGTTCTTGATCATTCTTGTCTCCATTTTGAACCACGTGTTCCTGGAAATGTGATACACCTGGGGAGAGAGAGCCTCATCGTAGCCAGGCATGGGCAGGTTGCAGAGGAGTGGAAAGGTGGAGAGGCCGGTGAACAGGCACGGGCTTTCATCACCTGCCCCCACCTTTATGATGTGACTAGATGGCTTGCAATACCCCTGATGCAATTCAACAACAGGAAGGAGAAAGCTCATGAAAAACCGGTCTTCCTGTGCCCTGCTGAGATCAATGGCTGGATTTCTATAGAAATCAGCCAAGAGTTCTGCACTGAAGAGCACAGGTGTTTGTCTTGCTTGGTGCGTTTTCTATTTCCATGAGAAATGGAGGAACTTGGGTCTTCTGGAGGTTGGTGGCTTTTCATCTGCTTGGGTCTCTAAGCCGGTGTCTAAGTGTCTGGGGTGGAGAAGGTCTTAGGGTCATGTGTGGCTTTGGGGATGGATGGGGTGGGTTTGTGAACGGTTCATGGCCATCAGCCCCTAGAGTCCTAGAGAAAAGGAAGAACGAACGAGAAAGGAAGAGGGAAGAAAGAGGAGGAGGCAGGCTGGATCGCAAGCTTCTTTTCCTCTGTTGTCCTTGGTCGCTCTCTAAAGTAGTGATCCTGAGCCCTCGGAACACCCTTTCCTTCTATTAACTCCCTCAGCTTAGACCCCAAATAGACAATGTGCCTTAGGTCCTTACAGGGAAAATGTAGCAGAAGACATGTAGGCTGGACTCCCGAGATATGAAAACAAGAAGGAAAGCATTGATTTACAAAGACGGGGCCACCTCCTTCACTGGCAGCTCTTTCTGAATAAACTGTGGTGGCCAGCATTATCAAAGACCCTGACTGGATCGTTTTGCCAAACTGAGTCATTGCAACCATTCTACCAAAATCCCACTGCCACGGAGTCCACTTCAATGCCTCGCCACGTTGTGGGACGGGGTAGGGCTGCTCTCTAGGTTTTCTGAGACTGCCCATCTTGATGGGGGCAGACAGCTTGTGGATTTGAACCGTGGACTTTGTGGTGAGCGGCCTAATGCCTCACCTACAGGACTCCTTACCATTCTATTAAATAAAAAATCCACTGCCACACATTCAATTCTTACTCATACCAACCCTACATGGGGCTTTTGAGATTGTAAATCTTTACTGGAGCGGACAGTCTTGTCTTTCCCCTGCAGAACAGCTGGTGGTTTTGAACTGCCGAGCCTACAGGTAGCAGCCTATGGCCTAGTGCACAGTGCATTATGTAGGTACTATTACATGCCCCACCCCTCAGTTTTTCAGCTTAGATCTCTGGGGCTGAGAGAGGTTAAAAGCATACCCAATCCCCCGTAGCTGGAGTGGGAGAAAGAGCTGGTCTGGTGGAACTCAGAATGTGTTTTCTCAGCTTCCACACCTGGGGTTCTGTCTGGCCCAGGGACCTGTGGTCTGTCCTGATGGAAGGCTTTGAGGCGGGACATTGCTTGAGATATCTGTGAGTCACTCAAGCTGGTGAGTCATTTAGAAAAGACCAAGCATTAGAGGCAGGGTGGGGTTGGGGGTTGGGGTGGGAATCAGACAGCCAAGAAAGCTCGTGGCTACCGCTGCAGCCACCTAAGTGGCAGAACTCTTTGGAAAGTTCAGTGGACTCTTCGGAGGAGACCAACCGCTAGCTTGCATTTCCCTTGAGTGAGTAATGGTCTCCTGATCGCCGGGTCTCTGTCAGCGTTAGGTATGGCTTCAAAAAGATATTCAACAGTGGTTCTCAAGCCTCTGGGTGCCCCAGAGAGGTGGAGGCCAGGAAAACCAAGGGTAATCTTTGACCAGTGGAGCAAGGGGCATTTTGTTATGGCAAAATTTGCTTGATGCTATCCCCAAACCAGAGGTAGGCAGAAGGTCAGGGAGCAAGGTGCCTGGGCATGCATAGTGACCTCCCTGAAATACTAGTTCTTAAAAGAATCCCGTGGATGAACCATCCTAAAAGGAAGCTCAGAGCTCCAGCTAGCAATTCAGCAAGTAACTCCGAGCATTTTTCTAAAACTACATTTGAATGAATGAGATGCCCATTGTCAAGCAATTGCTATGTGGCAAAGAAAAACATGCAAATTTCAGCTTTTACTTTCTTGCCCCCTCCCATTGCTGCAGTGTGTGTGTGTAGGGGGTTAGGGGTGGGGGCTTTGTGAGGACCTTGTTGAATTACACTCTGCATTTGTTTCTTTATTATGTTTTTAATTAAAAGAGCATTTTATGGGGGGTGTTCTTATAACAATCCTTACATCAATTGTATCAAGCGTATTTGTACATAACCTGCCATCCTCGTTTTATAAACCCTTACTTTCTAGTTGAACCCTTTGTAGCAGCTCCTCTTTTTTCCCCCTCCCTTCCCTCCCTCCCACCCTCGTGACCCCTTGATAAATTATAATCATTATTGTTTTCATATCTTACACTGACCGCTGTCTCCCTTCCCCCACAATTTCTGTTGTTCGTCCCCCTGGGGGTGGGGGTGGCTATGTGTCCATTATTGCTATAGGTCCCCCCTTCCTCCCCTCCTCTCCCCACATTCCCTCTACTCTCCTGGTATCTGGTATCACTACTCCCATTTCTGTTCCTAGATTCCATGTGTTGTGAGCTCTTATCTCTTGTCCATACCTGTTTAAATGCTCAGGTCTAGCCTAAAGTGAAAAATAGGACTGGGGTCATGATAGTGGGGACTGAGGAAGCCTCAAGGAACAAGAGGAATATTGTGTGTTTCATTGGTGGCATACTGCTCCCTGGTTGACTCATCCCTTCCTTGTGACCCTTCTGTGAGGGGATGTACCATTGCCTACATAAGGGTTTTGGGTCTCTGCTCCGACCCCACTCATCCTCAACAATATGTTTGTTTGTTTTGGATTTTCTGATGCCTTTTACCTGATCCTGTCGACACCTTATGATCGAACAGGCTGGTGTGCTTCTTCCATGTGGGCTTGTTGCTTCCCTGATAGATGGCCTCTTGTTTAACTTCAAGCCTTTAAGACCCAACATGTTATATGATTTGATAGCCAGGCACCATCCACTTTCTTCACCACATTTGTTTATGCACCCATTTTGTCTTCAGTGATTGTGTCAGAAGGGCTAGCATCACAGAATGGCAAGTTGTTAGAACAAACTGTTCTTGCATTGAGGCAGGGCTTGAGCAGAAGCCCAAAGTCCATCTAATACCTCAGTGTATTGCCATATAAAGATATGTACATAGGTCAATACCTCTATTGTTATGAATTGATATATTCACATAAGTGCACACCTATGTTTATACCTCTATCCATAGCTTTGCTTCCCAGATCTTTCCCCTGTTTCCTTTTACATTCCTCCTTTCCCACCAGCACACTTGCCTTTCTTCTGCCTCTTAATAATCCTTCTCAGCTAGATTGTTGTTGCTCCAACACCCCCGGGATCTCCACATCGTCCTTATTGTTGATTTTAACTCCCTAGTTGTTCCCTGGCTATGGCATTGTTTGCTCACTGCTTCCTTCCCTCACCTCCTCCTCCCCACAAGTCCCTCTGGAACCATCTGTCCTGTTGCTTCCCATACTTATCTGATATAGGTAGGCAAACCTACAACAGAGAAAAAAGAAAAAGAAAACCAAAGATTAATAAAAAAGAGAAAAGAAAAGCACTGATGGCCATATGAAGCACATCGCCTCATGGGAAGGGTTGGAGGAGATTATGTTAAGCAAAGTTAGCCAATCACAAAAGTACAAGTACAACAGGAGTCCCCTGAGATAAGTATAATCAGCACCGTAGATATAGAAGAAAACCACTTATCTAACACTATATGGGTTGAGGTACAGGCAGCCAGGTGGGGACAGACCAAATCCAAGGATGTACATGTCATTCCAAGACAAAGAAGAGGAAAGGTGGAAGGCAGAGGGAGAAAAAGGGGGAAATTAAAAGGGAGACCATGGCACTGGGGGAGCAGGGCATAACCCACCCAGGGGGAAAGTATTGGTTATGTCTCCACAGAATTGGGAGTGTTCATTCAGACCCCACCACAGTGCACCGAACCGTGAGGGTAACGGAACCCCATGGAGCAATGCATGAACAGAGTGGGCTACAGGGCCGGCCCCACTCAGAACCAAACTGGTCCCCTCCCTAGAAGTATGTGCCACAGAGGACAACACTAAATCTACAAGTTGGGGAGAGGGGCCAGCCTGCCACCCCACATGGAAGCAAACCAAGAAGGAAAAAGAGAGAGTGAGGGTCTAGACCTCATATCGGCAAAGTCCCTGCACAGAGCTGCTAAGGCACAGAGAGGACTGTAGGGCCAACAACAGCTCGAGACATGATGTCCCTTCCCTGGAGCACACCAGGACAGAGGACAGTAATGGGGACACACGGCAGGGAATTAGTCTAGTCTGAATGCCCCACAGTGGGGCGAACCAAGAAGGGAACATAACAGATCAGCAATGGAGCAAAGCCAAGCCACAAAGCCATTGAGGAGCCCTGGACTTCAGGCTAGGAGGTGAAGCTCACAGAATTCCCCCAGGACCAGCCGGAGATAGTCATAATGGTCAGCAGACAGACCTGGAATGATGTATGGGTTTCTTTTTTGGCTAGTTATTATTTATTCATTTATTTTCCCTTTTTATGCGTTTACTTTTTGCTCTTTTTCATAAAAGTGAAAATCTCCAGATGTCCATCGGTTGTGAAAACAAGTACAAATGCAGGTCTTTTGTTAAAGTAATAATAATAATGATGACGCGGTGTACGCTGAGCTCTCAAGAATTAGAGGAAAACCGTTTTTTCATACTGTGGTCTGAGCTCTGAGAGGAGCTGAACGAGCATCTCTTCCAACTGAGCTGAAGGAATGGACCTGGGAACTATAACTCTAGGAAGACTAAAAATTAACTCTGATAATCTGAGGGAAGTAATGAAAACTGGGACGGAACTGAAGGCAAGAAAAAACTTGAGAGAAGGCTGTCACCTTTCTCCATCTCCACTGGCAACCGACCTAGTGCAAGCCATCAGCATCCCTTACCTGGACCTCTAGAAGACCCTCCCCCCAAACCCCCACACCACCGTCACCAATACACTTCCCTTTGTCTACTCAGGGCTCCTCCCATCCATTCTGTACAGCTTTCCAGGGGGAAATTCTAGAAATGCAAACTAGAATTCCTCCTCCACCCTGCACGACACTCTTTAATGAAGTCCCAGACTGGATTCCTTGACTACGTCTACAAAGCCCTTTCAGGCCAGCTTCATCTCTCAACCCATCCTCCGCTAGAATTTCTACCTTAGTAGCTAACTTGGTGACTGCTTCAGATTCACCTGCCAGCCTGGCGTTTGTTTCTCTTCTCTGTTTTTCTGCCCAAGTTAGCTTAAACTGACCTCAGCAGTTTCCCTCCAAAGTTCCTTGAACCTGGGAGCCCCTGACTCCTTTTAGACTGGTATGGCAGCACCCCCTTTTGCTGTCAGAGTACCCCTCTCTTGCAGCAGCTGAACGGTAATGGTCTTGTTAGCCCCTCCGAGGCCCCCCCTGCAGTTCTCTGCTCCTGCTTATGTCCTCCAGGCCTTCCCAGTGGCTGGCCCTCAGCATCACTCTTCCTTAGAGAAGAAGAAAGCGCGCATCATGTGGTCCCCTGGAAGGCCTTGGACTACAGGCTTGGTCCACGTTTCCCATGTCATCAGATGAGCTGCAGATAACCAGAGCTTGCATACCATTGGGAAACACTTTAATATTCTGAAATTTTGATTTTTATGAATCCTGTGTCTCAGGAAACGAATAACGACTTGTCATGTAAGACAGGGTTCTCCAACCTAGCCGCACTTCATAGTCTTCTGGAAATTGTAGATGTCACAACCGAGAGAGTCCACAGTTCTCAGGTGAACCCTTGCTGGGAACTCTTACAGTCATGCTTAGTAGGGTTGGAAGCATTGCCTTAGAATGTCATGATCTGATATGAAATGTGTTCTAGTTGAATGGTTAGAGCCCTCTGTTCCCAAAGAGAAGCTCCTTGCGGATAGGGATTGTATCTGATGTGCCCTTGTAGGTATTGAGTTTACCCCCAAAGAATTCATAGATTGATGAAATCTTGCTGAAAGTTTCCCTCCCTGCCTTCCCTCTCTCTCCCTGCCCAATGATAAGTGTGTGTGTGTGTGTGTGTGTGTGTAGGGGGAACATTGGTGTGCTTCCAAAACATTACAGACCAGCCTTTTACCTGGATGAGGCGCACGGGGTTCTGCAGGACATCCTCTCCCCCGAAGAGGTAGAGTCGCTGGTCTTTCACAGCCACCGCAGGGTGGAGCACGCCCACTGGCATGCTGGCCATCCTCTCCCAGACGTTGCAGATGCTGTCAAACCGCTCCATGGAGCTCATGACCTCCTGCCTGTCTCCAAGTCCCCCAATGGAGAAGATGAAGTTCTGATGGACCGTGCTCCTGTGGGAGTAGCGGGCCACCAGCATGGGTTCCCCCAGCCGCCACTGGTTGAGTTTCAGGGAAAAGATGTAAACATTGGGGCTGAGCAGACTCTTCCCTGCCCTGACGGCCATGCCCCCGAGGACGTAGATGCTGCGGTGCAAAGGGACGGCTGAGGCCTTGTACAGCCGGGTCGGGAGTTTGGCCAGGTCCTGCCACTGGCCGCTCTGGCTGTTGTAGAGCAGGACATCCCTGGTGGTCTGCTGGCTATCTTTCCTCCCACCCAAGAGGATAAGGAAATCTTGGTAAGAGTTTCTGGGAGGGACGTGGCACAGCGGTTTGAGGTCTGGGGCACCGGGGCCGTACAAAGAAAATATGTGCCTCTTGGCTGCCTCCAGGATGGCCCGGCATGCAGGTGAGGTTTGCAGGAGGGCATTGCTGGTGATGAAGTGGGCGAAGAAGGCTGGGTGGATGTACTGAAGCCTGACCTGTTTCAACAGTTCCTGCAGGTGCCACTTCCGGGTCTCAAGGTCATGGTTGACCCAAACCATGAGAGCCTCAAAAACCTTCTCCTCCTCCCCACAGAGGCCATCGTCCGCCAGGTAGTCTCGCAACTCCAAGGCACAGAGCTCCTTCAGGTCGGCCGAGGAGGCCACCTCTGGGAAATACCTCAGAGCCATCTGCCTGGCTTTCTCCTTGAGGGTCTCACAACTGAAGATCTCAGAGAGCCTGAGCATGCCCAGGCAGTTGCTGGGGGTCAGCTGGCTCTGGAGGTATGAAGAGCAGGCCTCGAAGAGTTTGGGGTACTGCAGCATGGCGGCCGCCTCCATCAGGGGGTGGACGCGCTCGGCTGTGATGGACACCTCCCCGGTGTACACGTACAGCACGATCTGCTCCAGAGTGGTGGCGTCCACGCCTTTCAGCTGGACTTTGGTCTCCCGACTCTCCTTGAAGTTGTTGCAGAACATGGCCCTGAAGTAGGGACTGCTGGAAGCCAGCACGTTGCGATGGCAAGGCACCTCCTGGGTGCTGGTACAGATGCTCACGTCTGTCAGGAGCCCGCTTTGTCTGAAGCCGTTGAGCTGCCTCAACAAGTCAGAGGAGAAGTCATGGTCTCTGAAGAGCAGCCCGTCTGGTGATGGCTGATCCATCCTACAAGGAGGGGAGGAAGCCCAAGAGTGAGCGAGAGGCACATCTTTCTTAGAGGAAACCAGAGACTTGAGCTGTAGGGGCTATAAGACTTGACACATCGATGTCCATCCACCTAGCTGCTTGCCTGCATGGTCCAGAGGATTGGGGAGTGCAGCTCGGAGAGGGAGGCCACCCCATCCAGAGCTCAGAGTGGACGCCTCCCTTTCTGGTTTAGGTAATCCTCAAGGGCAGATGAGATCTTTGGCTAATTACAGGTGGGGGGGACAGGGGTAGACGTTTCTCAGTGGTCAGGAGCTAGCAGGAGGCTACTATTCATTCTGCATGACTAAGTGCCGGCGTGAACCTTTCTCTAGATTCTTGGCTTTTCTGTCGTTTATCCCACACCGGCCCCAAGAATGCTATTCTGGGGCACGGCCCTGTGATGACCAGAAGGAAATGAATGGTAGAAAGGGGCCTGGACGATTTCTCTCTTTTTGTGCCGGGTGGGAACACATGACTTTCCTGGGTCTTTTTGGTTTCGTTTTTTAGACTGGGATAAACGGGAAGCAGGTAGCTAACAATGCCCTGGGCAGAGCTGGGTGGCACCGGGCAGTCTCCCTGAGGAAGAATCCAGCATTCGGGGCATTTACCTTCTTGGACGGCTGGGACAGCCAGTGAAGCCTGGTCCGGCTTGTCTCCCCGCGGCGAGCACCCACCTCTGGCACTGAGTGAACCCTACACCCAGGCCTGTCTTTCAGCGGCACACCGACCTGTGCTGGGAGATCCTTGGAGTTGTTTATGCTGAAGGCATTTTGGTCGTTTTCTCCAGCTTTGTGAACGAACTGCTGGGCAGAAGACGGCATATACATTCCAGGGCTAAGAATAGTTGCATATGTACTTTCCACTGTTATGACATGTGACTTTCCAGCTGCCTTTTGCAGCCACCCGAAGGCCTGCCAGGCTGGCGCATGCCCACATGCCTTGTTTCTCTGGCCTGTGTTTACAGCAGCAGAAATAGATCCGGGGGAACGGCTTCTCTCGGAGAAGACCTGGCTGCCCACTTGGGAACATCCCAAGTCCCTGTCTTAAGAGTGCCTTGGAATTCTAGATGTCTGTAAACAGGTCTCTGTGACCTGCGGAGAGTCACTGCAGATGACCCCAGGCCCTAGGGAAGGGAGCAAGTGGTCCCTGGGGAAGGAGGCAGGGAAAGTGGAACATGGGCTCAGGGGTCCTTTCACTGGGGTCCTTTCCCTCCATCTGCCGGGCAAGGTGAGCGGAGAGGGCTGTGACTTCCCCCTCTAGGTCCCAAGGTGACAGAACCCAAGGGGAAGTTTGTTTGTTATCATTTGTCGCACTCTCCCCAGAGTTTCCTGATTCAGGAGAGAGCAGACCTTGGGCAGAGTCTCTGTGAAAACATGGTAAGGCCTCTGCTGTTCTCTGTCACAGATGCCTCTCGAAGACACACACTGATGGTTCTTCCGATAAGTTTTTATAGTTCAGCCCCTGGCCCATCCTTTTGTTTAATATCAGTAGACAATGAGTCAAGGCCCAAGTTTGGGGCCCGAAGACTTGGGTGAATCTTGGCATCTTCTTTAGTATGTGTGTGGTCTTGGATAGTTGCTTCTTATATTCTCCTGGCCTCGGCTTCTCTGTCTGTGAAGTGGGGATAACCCTTCTTGTCTCATAGGAATCGTGCACGTGAAGCAGGCCGTGGAGTAGCCTGCACAAGGTAGCCTCACACAATTGATGACACCAACCCTACCAAATCCACTGCCATCAAGTGGATTCCAGATTATAATGATGCTATTGGACAGAGCAGAGCTACTCCCCAGGGCTTCTGAGCCTGTCAATCATTATAGAACAGACAGCTCATCTTTCTCTCTTGGAGTGATGAATAGGTTTGAGCCACTGACTTTTCAGTTAGCCACCCAACAGTTAACCCGCCTCACTTCCAGGGTTCCTTGTCAATGATGAGAGTATTATATTTTTATCTGAAAATAATCTCATTAGATCCCAGTGGGTTTCGGTGACCAGCTAATTTGGTATCTTGCTCAAAACCAAAAGCAAACCTAACTCACCGCCATCAAGTCCATTCCTACTCATAGTGGCTCTCCATAGGCTTTCCAAAGCATTGGACGTCTTTTCGGGAACACACAGCCTCATCTTTCTCCCTTGGAGTAGCTCATGAGTTTGAACCACCAACCTTACTCTCAGCAACCCAGCACTCTCCCGACAGACATCCGGTCTCTTGTTCATTCTAGACAATTCCTCTGCCTTGAGCAATTGCCATGTTCCTCAGCATCCACTTTGATGCAGGATTCAACTCTGCCATAGACTGGCTGTCTGGCTGTCTCTGGACATGTCATCCAGCTTTGCAGAACTTGTCTTATTCCCCAGAGAAGCTGTGGACCAGGTGACCTCTGAGCCCTGCCCCGTCTAGATGCCCCTTCTGTGGGTTGTGTGCTGAAGTGTTCTCTGCAGGCTGTGGCCCAGAGAGAGGCCTGAGGGAGGCTAAGCCTCAGGGAGGAGGCCCCTGGCACAGAGGAGAAATGCCAGGCCAGCTGCCAGCCAGGGCTCTTTCATACTTTGCTCTTTTAAGTCAATTCAGAGTGCCTGCTTTTCCCTAACAGAATTTTTGATTGGCATTAGATTGGTTCCCCGGATCTGGGTGTGTGGGGCCCAGAGTCCCTGGAGTTGGCAATTCCAGGCGGGGAAGGTCAACAAACATGCCACACCACACACGTCCTTCCTTGGGGGCTCCTACGACACTGGTACACATGCGGGGAATCAGGCTGGGTCCCCAGGACATACAAACTGCATGCAAAGGCTTTACAGAGGCCCCTCCTTGTCGGCAAGGGCATGCTCTGTGCCGTAGGCAGCAGGAGAGGAGAAGCCCCAGGTGCCCACAGGTCAGAGCTGTAGGAAGATACTGGGCCCTGGGATTTGTTGTTGTGGTGGGTTGTTGCTTGGCTGACTCCACTCATGGTGCCCCTGTGCCCAGAGCAGAACTGTTTTCAAGGCTGTGCCCTGTGGAAGCAGACCCTCAAGACTGTCTGACGTGCTTCTGAGTGGATTCGAACCGCCAACCTATTGGTCAGTGGTCCAGCACTGAAATGGGTGACTTCACACTTTCTCTGTGACGGGAGTGCCGTCTGCCAGGGTCTGAATCTACTTGGCTGAGGGTTTGGTTAGCCTGCTGCTTGTGCGAACTGAAAAGAGGCCATTGTAGTCCAGACAATACCGGAAAGGGGGCCTGCTCCAGGAGTCCAGGGGTTGCCATGACGACCATCCCCTGGGAGCTCAGAACCCAAGGCCACTCTTACAAGGACAGTCTACCAGAGTCTCCCCTCCCAACTTCTGCAGCCTGTGCCCTGAACAGAAAATAACATCAGT